GTGTCCCGCAGCCCGTGGCTCTGTGTGGTTCCCTCAGCCCGCGCAGCTGTGTCGCTGCCGCCAGGGGGCAGGAGAGCGCAGGGCACGTCTGTCTGTGCGGCCACAGCGGCGGCTGCGACACGCAGCTCCAGGAGACACTTGTGGTCTTCTCTCCTTTTCCCTTTGTCTCTCTGTGTCTGGGGACCTTTCTGGCATTATTCTGTGCAAACGTGTGATAGCAACATGGGTACGGTCTGACATGAGGTGCTGGTGAAGGTGAGATGCACTGGGACCTGCTCTTCTCATCCTAATGCTATGGAAAGAGTTTCAACAATTTACTGCAACAGTCAAATCTGTTTGAAACCAGCACTGACATTCAAAGGAAGCTTTCAGCTGCTCGCTCGAGATTTATCTCAGAAGAGACTGTGCTACAAGTGCATCAACAGCCATGCAGCTCTGCCTGGTACATCTGACTTTTCTTGTGTTAGCCTGATTTAGGATTTGGAACTTGCTCTGGAATTGCTGTACTCCTTGGAAACATAAGCACATGCTCTCAATTCATCTGCGTGGAGGGAGCCACAACCACCCTCACTGCCCCAGGAAGACAAGCAGAGAACTTGCACAGCACCTCATACACCTTCTCAGGGTTCCCAGGGAACCCAGTGCTCTCTGCTTGCTTGCCCAGGTGACTAATCAGCGACCAAACTCCTTCCCCAACTTTCCATGGCATTGGCTATCAAACTGCTTTAATACTTTCTGGTTACACACATCAGCTTTACACAAAAACTACTTACCTGGTCTTTAATCAGAACACAACACAGGATACGTTTTTTCCTTTCATTTCGTATCTGGCTATGATAGATAATGGAATTTGATTGCAAACATACAGATGTAATTACTCAAGCCCCATTCCCATGCTAGAGGGAGGCACTGTTACTCAGGCATGAGGAAATACTGAAACAGAGATTATGACAAAGAGGTCCTTGGAGTCAGGGCTGTGTGCCAGCTGCAGGGCCTTCTAGAGCAAAGATTTAAAGGAACAACTTAAATCTGATCTCAGTTTAATTTCAGCTATTACTTATATTCCACACAAAGCTGGGAAAGGCTGACTGGGAAATATTTTTTGGTCTTAATAGTATCCACAGGTTGAAGGCAAACTTATCAACAAACAAAAAGGGCATGTTGAAATTCTGCTGTTAAAGGACTGTAAGAAGATTGTAATCCTTCTACCACTTTCCAATTTTCTCTGCTCATTATGTCTTGGGTAGATTAAGCATGACTCTGTACAGTATCTGGCACTGAAGTTTTCCAGTTTCAGCAGCTTTTCAAATATGCATTAGCTAAGCAAAAATGTTTTCCCAAGGACTCATAAAAATCTGAAAGATGGGAGCAGCCAAGATTACAACATGTGCTCTGCAAACTTTCCAGGTGAAAAGTTCTAAATTGCACTGATCAATGCACAGAGGGGATTTAAAAACTCATCACAAGGAGGGTAATCACTGACTGAGAATGAACACAGCAGTCAATACCAACAGCAAACCCTGTGTATTTTTTTGGTATAACTGTACTCAGTGTGACAGATCATAAAAGCAGGACCCTCCAGGGTTTAAATCAAAATCATCCAAAACAGTAGCTGTAATTATTCAGGGAATCTAAAGTGTAATGACTTATGTAATCCGTTCACCTTGGGGATTCATGTATTTATATGTATTTATCACACCGTGACTCCATTCTGAATGTCAAGTTCTGTATAGCTGCTGTCTTTTACCTGGGTGTTAAATACACAGTGGTATTAGCAAAAAATCACAGAAATGGGGCTGGAATGGTTCTCAGGAGATCACCCAGTGCCTCCCATTCACAGAGCAGGCCTAACTGCACCGATACACTCCTGTGTCACCTCTCCTTCAAAGTCCCCAGTGATGGAGATCGTACACCTTTCCTAGAGAATCTAATTCAGTACCTCACCTCCACACCAAGTTCTTCCCAGGACCTACCCCAAGCCTCCCCTGCCACAAGTACAGTCAACTACATCCTGCTGTATCCAGGAGGGACCTAGAGAAGATGCTCCCCTGTTTTCCTTGTGTCTCATTGCCATACCTGAAAACTATTGACATGCTTTCAATGTACTTCTCTAGATTAAACAACCAAGGTTTCTTAAGTGTTGCCTTACTTATAGTGTTTCTGTGTTTACATTTGCATTGCTTTTTTCTAGGCCTTCTAATGTTAACTGTCATGTTTTTGGAAGTGCAATGCCTCACATGAAGGTGGTGTATCACCTGAGGCTTTGCTCATGCTCTGTAGTTAGGTATGATTACTCCATCTGCCCAACACACAACAATTCTGCTACAACCCAAGAGGATTGTCTTCATTTTCCCCTCTCAAAAACATGATACCTTAGATTTAAGCAATTTTGCCACATTGCCCAAGTGCTTCCCGGCAGAGCAACTAGTTTGTCACCCATATTCCACCCCTAAACAATGCAGCTGATTATTCCCCAGCACTGAACTTTGCCTTTGTCCTTTCTGAACTGCATCCTGGCTTTCTTAAAGACCATTTTCCCAGGCTGTAAAGACTTCTCAGCAGCCTGACACCTGTGCTTTGCAACTTCTCATCCCCCCTCAGCCTGAAGACTGGTGCTTCTACACTCAGGTGGGTATCCCATCAGACAGAGAGATGACTATCCCCACCCAATGCAAACTAGTCTGATACCAAATCTGAACTTCTGAGCAAAAGTAATCAAGTGACAACCCCCCAAGATGAGGACTTATATTGTTTCATGCAATAAACTGGTGGTCACTGATGATGAGGGCTGGCAATACTCACCAAAGAGTTGTCTTTACACATGACATGTGGGCAGGAAGGGGCAGGGTGCACTACAGGATCTTCAGTCACTTTAAAGCATAGAACTTGGGTCCATATACAAATGAACCCCTGAAACAGTGGGGGGGAAATGCACCACCTTCTGCGGGGATGCTCGTGCTTCTCAGACTCTGAGGCTCAGTGACATACCTGGCCACAGCCTCCAGCTGCAACACTTTACCCAGTTTTCACTGAGACTTGTCACCTGGAATTGTCAGCACGCAGCCAGCTGCAAGCTGCAAAGCTTGTGTCTCTTGCCTCGTGGTAACAAAGTGTGAGTCAGAAGCTGATTTCCCAGAAGTCTGAAAGCTCCATCATGGGTAGGCAGACTGGGACAAACAACCATCAGTGTAATTCACTGAGTTCAATTTTATTTTTTTAATATAATGACTTAGCAGCGTCAGTTCATTTGGGGAGAGAACTAAGAGACACGAACAAAAATTAACTAATGAGAGTGCAGCAAGAGACTCGCTGCTTTTGGCCATGTGCAACCAGCCCTTCTGAATGAGAACTCATTGAAAATGGTATAATAGAGGCCTGTAACAAGGCCAAAACAATGAACAACAGCTCTTTCTCAAGCCCTTTGACCATACTGGCAGAGAAACGTGATTAAGATTCACATCAAGAAGCACAGACAGTTTCCACTGCACAAAGACAACCATGGGAAAGCTCTTTCTGAATCAGTGTTGATGGATACCTTCAAAATAATGCAAATGGTTATTTCCAACCTAGATTCAAGAATGTGTATTCCAAGCTTACCATTTTAAGGAAAAAAAACCCCAGGAATTCATTTCCTAGAATAGGAACAGAAGCCATACTGAAAGCATCTCCATGATATATGCAACCTTCCAAAACCCCCAAACTGGTGGTGCAGAACTGCCACACCAGCATGTTCAACTCAGGGCAACAACTTCACTTCTTTCACCCCGGAGGAGCAGCTGGAAATTGGAGTGCTTCTGCCAAGCCCTCAGGTCTGCACACTGAGATAGAAATCTCAGGTGATCAAGTTCTTGACCTTTTCAGCACTCCTGCCTCTGTATTGAGGCCAAGTGATGACATCCATAATCCTGGTGTGCTTCTGGCCATCAGCCTCAGCCAGGGCTTGAAATGGAGAAGAGAGGAGTTAAACTCAGCACACTGACCCATTGAAGAAGAACCTGTTTCTCAAACCACAACATTTCGAGTGTGATATATAGCTGAAAACCAGCGAGACCTGTTCCTGGCTGACTCAGCTATTCCCACTGCTCTTGAAGTGGTCATAATAAAAAAGCACAGGTACCTGGTGGCTAGCAGAGGGTAGGTATGCAGAGGGCTGAACCAAGCTTCCTTCATCCGCGGCATGCTCTCATATATTAAGAGGTCTTTCTCTGTCAAAACCACTAACACTGGCTTCCAGTGCTTCTCATTGTCTCCTGGCACCTGAAAAGGAACAAAGTCTCAGTGAAACAACAAGAAACAAAGTTACCATCAAGCAAAGCCTGATGATATGAACATAGAATCATAAAATCATAGAATCAGCCGGGTTGGAAGAGACCTCAAAGATCATCGAGACCAACCCTACCGCCGTTACTAGACCATGGCACTAAGTGCCACATCCAGTCTCATCCTGAAAACCTCCAGGGACATGTCAAGTCCCAGGTGAGAAAACAAACAAAAGAGAGTTTGACTTCTTTGGCTTTTTGACATCCCCCATCTTAATTTATAACCAGATGCAGCAGAAATGGAGTAAAGTGCAATGTCATCTGCTGCTCCCATTAGCACTGCCATTTCCAGCCTTCCCTTACTACAGGCTACTCTATAAATGCAGTAATGGAAGAACACTGAGACAGAGCTGGCTGTTACTTAGCTGTGGTATGCATGAAAGGGCCTTAAATGTATATTTATAATGTGCACCATTCATGTGTGCCTGGGACATTAACCGGAGCGCTGGACACTGCTGCTTCTGTTTCTATTTTCATGAGTGAAAAAAGCTGCAACATCATCACTATTAAAGAAGAGTGACAGGTAGTAAAAACTAGTGGTTTGGGAGCAGATGCTTTTTTCCTTGGCAGTTCACGTTTTCATTGGTTCTCCATCTTCCATACCATTCTTCCAGTGCTGATTTATAAAGAGATCCAACCTAAACATGGGGTTGATCTCAAGCATTGACTCAGTGACAGATCTGCCTCCACATTTCAAACCCATCTGTTGAAGATGTCTGAAAGACTGAGGCATCAGAGTCCTTTGCTGGCTGCAGAATCCAGATGTGGATTTATATTTTGCAGGTTAGACGTGCTATAGTCCACATGGCTACACAATTGCTGATATGGGGGCCAAGTATGGGTCTTGTTTTTCACTTATTCTATTCCGGCAGCATAGAAGTGTCTTAAAATAGAAGGGAATATGAAAGGGCCTCAGTTTCAAGTAAGAATGAAGCTCTTTCACAGAAAAATTAATCATTTTACTTTGGTGTACACAAAGAAAAAGAAACCCCGGTCCACAGTAACACAGCCATGCTTTCAAACCCAAACATCTCAGCTGGGTACTAAAGAGAATGAAACAAATTCTGAGATTCACCAGAGAACATGATTGCCTAGATGACTCCTCCATTAAAACCTTCTCTAGTATAGAGAAGCAATTGTCTGTGCTGCTTTATGGTTCATGCCAGCCTACTAGCCAGTGGGCACGTTGCTGGATGGAAAAACATACAGAAGGCATCAAAGTTTGGCCAGGCTGGGAGTGGCACAGCCAGGAATGGTAATTCAGATCCTTAAGTATGATGTGCCTTATGTGATGAATTCAGACTGAGAACCACATTTGAAACACTTGTGTTTTACACAAAACCAGGGTCCTGCAAACTTCTAAACTTTCTGATGTAAGATAACTCACAGTAGGACACCAATGCCAAAAGCAGATCTTAAACTAAGACTTTGGCTTGCATAATTTTTAAGATGTATTTTTCCCTCTGAATTGAGCTTCACCAATAATCATATTCCTGTTTACAGCATCACTTGCTCACTGGTTGTTCATGTATGTGTGTTAATCAACTTAAAGTCATAAATTGTTCATCCTTTCAATTTCTTCAGAAGCATTAATACTTATTTAAAATTTTCTTGTGGTGAAAGTTTCTTGAAACACAACCTTTAATTTTCAAATAGTGCGGAACAGAGAAGCCATATAAGTAACACACCTATTAATAAACTCCAAAAAGAATGCAAAGTCCAGAGTTCTCAGAGCCCATATACATGGAAATATTCACATAAGCAAAAAAGCATCCTTGGCTTCTTAATACCACAGCTATTAACTACAGTTCACACCCCAGTTCCTAGTGTGGGAATATAGAAATGAGTGTTACAGTTAATGTTAACAATAAATGTTATGGTTAATGTCAACATTTAATTTGGGAGCACCTGCCAGTGTTCTTTAACTAGATTTAACTAGAAAGATTTTAGTAAATACTTTTGAAGATTTCCAGAAAAGAAAAAGTAAGATAAAGACGAAATCCCTCATAGGATGAAAGAGTAGAATGTTCAGATTCATAACCTGGAGGAGTAAGCAGGCAGTGTACTGGGCTCTTACTTCTTGTTTTTAAATTCTGTGACCACAAGCAATCCAAAGACTATGGGAAGCTGGTTGCAGCTTTTCTGCAGAACTGTAATGCCTGCGTAGCATTTTCAACCACAAGCTTTGCTATCAGGTGGCTGCTCAGTCAACTGTAACTCCAGAAACTTTGGAAAACACTGTAAAGCGACCACAAGAAAGAGACTAAAACATATTCCCACGACTATTTGCTGCACAGCTGTAAACATTAGGACACAATTTTCAGCATGGATCCTGAGGTTACCACCTCCACAGCAAAGCCCACAGCTTTGCCCCAGTCCTTCCCAACAGCAGGCTGACTGGAGAAGATGTGGTTTGGTCATAAGGTATCCTAAGATTTTTTCTCAAGAGCAAGTGACCTTATACTATCTCTCCTTGCAGGATGCATCCCCTATCTGTGGGGTGTGTACTGGGAAGGGGAGAGAATAGAATGATGTTTTCCTGCATCCCCAGTGAGAAGGGCCATGCAATACACACATGTTTAAACACATTTTTCAAACCTTGCTGGGACCATAGTTGCCTCACTGCTGAGGAATGCTGGTGTAAGTAATACTGCTGCTATTTCAGACCTGAAGAAGGATTTGTGTGCCTGAAAGCTTGTCTGATTTTTTCCAACTGTAACAGCTGATCTAATAAAAGATAGTGCTTTTCCTTAAAAACCTTGAATTGCATTACAAGTCCCTTGTTGTGCTGGGGTTTGGATCAGGCTGTAACAGCTGATGCTGTAATGTTCAACAGGCAGTTAGCACTTCTCAAAGCTGTCAGAGAGAACACACTGTCTTGTAAATAGTAATAGCAAATTTTACAAAGGAAGAAGAGAGGCTACAAAATACCATTAGCCTACAGGGCACATTCAGCACAAATCAGCATGGGAAAATAATCCCGATCAAGCAAGAGTCATACCAAGCACGAGTACAATAGCAAATTACAAAACAAAGGCAAAAACCATGTTGCTTATGGGCAGCTAAGTGGAGGATTTGTTCAAGTTGTTAAGGTTTCAAGATCTGACATATCATAAAGATAGCACAAAATACTTCTGTAAGAGTGAATTTAAGTATCATTTGAGATACATTCTAGAGGTTCTGTCTCAGGTGATGGTTAGGCCCAACTTCTCAGCCAGAATTTTGCAGAATTCTGGCACTTGCACTACTGTTTCTTTGCTCCAGTTCCCACCTGCACATATACAATTTAAATTATATTGATCTGTGTTACAGACAAATAAAATCACCATCCACTCTAAAAAGCTTTTCAAACTCAACCCTTTTTCAAAGTAAAAACTGTTAGGTTAAATCTAGATGAAGTGCAGAAAAGAAAAATTAGCACTCCTCAAACCTCCCACCATAATAAAATGAATCAGCAAAGAATTTGCTGGTCTTCTGGCCACTGCTCCAAGCAACAGGTACCAGTGCCCCATCTCAATGCATTGCCCATCTTGCCTTGGGTAACTGCTTATATTTCACTGCTTCCCAGGTGAAATTCCACTTCAAGTCAATGAGGCTCTAAGTGTTTATACCAGAAGCAAACTAGATTTTTTTTTCATTCCTGTGCCTCTAGATCAAAGCCTTCAAGCCCAAACCTGAGAAGGGAAAACATATTCTAAGAAAAAAAATACCAGGTTCAGGGAAGAAGCATTTTTGCTATTTACAAACCTCTTTGCTCCTCATATACACACCACATTAAATGCAAACCCCACTTTTTTACCATATGAAACTCTCTCGTTAACCGCTCCAAATTCAGAAAATATTTCATGTACAGCAGGGATGTAACCTAATTTTTTTTTAGGTATAACAAGGTAATGGCTGGGTCTGAGATGACACCAAGAGAAGACCTGTGTTCATGTCTTGTTCAGCCACAGGCTTCCTCTGAAAAGGCAGCCTGAATGTTCTGTGTTCCCATATGGACACTGCAGTCTCTGCTGGGGTGGCAAATGCTGCTGTAACACACAGCAGGAACAGATGTAAAGGTTGAATGTGGACAAAAAGCATAGTGTATTTCAGTAGTTACATGGAAACTTGTCCATCAGCCTTTGGCTGACACAAGAGCAAATGTGCTGTGATGCAGAAGGCAAGACAGCGCACGCAGGACACACCAGACCCCACTGCACCTGAGCTCTGGGTGCCTTGGCAGTGGTGGGGCTGCACTGCTCCAAGCATTGCTTCAGGGCCAGATCTGTGGTGTGATGGACTGACTGCAAACGATGACACGCTCACCACTACTTGTATGACTGCTCCTGCTGGTTTTCTGCCAGCTGCTCATGTGCTTAAAGCCACGGCTTAAAAGGTACCCTTAAAGAGTAACTCCTCTGACACACAGCAAACAGCATTTCAAAGAGCAGCCAGCTCGTTTTGTCTGCAGGTGATGGGGACATACCTATGTCCCCTTTACTGTGTATCACAGCTTCCAGACCTTTAAGAGTCTTCACATATAACTCATTGCCATAAAGACAATGGACATCTCAGTGGAGATAAATCCTTCTACAAACTGTTTCGCCCTTTGCTCTTTCATCTGCCAGGTCTCTTTTTCAAAAGGTTTTTCTTTGAATTTCAGTTATTCATCTACTTCAGGCTCCCAGGAATGGATGAAAGATACTTCTAATTTATGATGCTCACAGGTAATTAAATTAGAGGTCTTGGTCTACTCTGGAAAGCTGTTTTGTATTTTCATTAACTCAAAAGGGACATTTCAATTACATTCCCTGTTTAGTAAACAATTTATAAACTTCCATCAGACTCCACTGCAGCAAGTGTCCAAAATGTGTCTGTTCAGAGAACACTGTGAAGGTAGCAAGTTTGTGTTTAGAGTAAGTGATTGTTTAACCTCCTTTTCCATCACTTCCCCCC